GCAAAATTCCACAGATTATGTAATTGTTACTGATAAGGGCGAGCAATATGCTACTAGTTTTGAAACCAAGTTTCAAATTTTTTGTGTTATTTAGTGATCAGATCGCATTTATTAGAGATACTTTCTGATTTTAAGGACAATTTTGTTGAAGTGTACAGCCAGGAGAAGCAGAGAGCCAACAACAAGCACAATAACGAATAACAAGGTAAAGGCATGCGAAACAGCAAAAAGCAGGAGAAACCCAATAACATAAAAGCAAAAGAATTTTTTGCGAAAGGATGATGGCCAACCTGCAAAAGCGGGAGGCAAAGGGGAGGGCGGACAAGTAGAAAAACCCGCTTACAGCAGCGAAAAAAAAACAACAGCGACGCCAAGCCAACCAACGACCTTGATAAGTTTTACACAGTGCGGAGAGGGAGAGGGCGGAAAAGAGAGCAGGAGAGAGGTCCCAGCTAAGGAGCGAGCGAAAAAAGGGCGGCGGAGAGGCCACCACAATCGATGCCCCCAATGTGGTGAGTTTCGCCACGCGCGAGAACACTCTTTTTCTCGCTCTGACTTTTGGTCTCTCATCAACAAGTGGCCCAGCTGTGAGTGGGCTGGATAAAGGGGGTGTTGAGTGGGTGGGGAGGTAAGTTGACCAGCTCCTTACTCAACTCGCTTTTTTGTGTCTGTGTGTCAGAGAGCTCTCTCCCGCGCGCTCTCTTTGATAAACAGCCTGTGGTGAGTTTGTTTTCCGCTTTTCAGCCTGATTATCATATTCTGCGTTTTATTATTGAATTTCTCGAAATTTGCCTGCGTGTGTGTGTGTGACGCATGTGTAAAGTGCGGGGCACAGCCGCCCACCGCCCCCTTTTTCACCCGTATGCCCACCTTCTCCTCCCCTACAATAGAAAACAAATTCCGCCAGTTAGTCTGTCAAATATGTTTGTTTCCTCTCCCTCTCTCTCTCTCTCTCACAGTCAGCTGCCAAATCAGCTGTCTGATTATAGGCAAATTCATTTAGTATTATTTAACAATCGAATCCACAAACGGAGAATAGAAAGCGGAAGATTGGAAAACATGTGCATGGAAAATTTTGATCTCCTCTTTGGTAAAAGGCAAAAAAGTGGACTCGCCACATAGCAAAAAATAAGAAAAAAGGAAAACAAAATGCAGAACAACAACCACAACAACTGCCTCCATTGTAGTTACCTGCAACGTGCCTGAAATTTCAAAAATGCAATATCAAAATCAACGCGGAACCAGAAAGATACTCTACTTTAAGTAACCGAATCTGGAAATACCCTTAGTTCTTTTCACATCTAATAAGTTTGGCATTAAAAGATTTTAAGCAAAGCAATAGATTAGCTTTAAATTGTAAGCAAGTAAGGACTGAAAATCAGTGTTTTATTGGAGCTCTTTAACAAAATTCTTTAAGATTTTATTAATCATTATAAACATTTTATACTTGGTTTTAAGACGACCCTTAAGAATAGCCTCGAATCGCAATTAGGAACTTGTATGGTATTTTAAGATGTCAAACAAACTTCGATTTAATAAAACCAATATCTGGAAAACTGATCTATTTATTAAACTTATTAAACTTACATTGAAAGGCTTTATACGAAGATCATTATAAACGTGGTTGAAATGATATCTGATCAATTATACTACTTTGAGAATTTCCCTCAGTTTATAGGAGCACCGATCCTTAACTGCTGACCTTCTGTTTGGGAAAATATATGTAGTTTAGATAGTTTCGGCTCCTCTACTACATTGCAAACCTGGAAGTGCAACCAAAAGACCTTCTGCTAGAGTATTTCAAGCGCCGTGCTGCACTTGCAACTGCCAAACGAAACGAAACCGGACTCAACTGGACGCCCGCCCCTCTTACACACACCCATTAAGTGGTCACACACACTTGTAGGCAACATACACACGATATAGACGACGCCTAGTTGAGCATTTTGAACGACAACTACAGCGGACAAGCCATAATTAATCAGGCCTGGCCGGCAATATTTTACAAAAGCGAAGCGAAAATTCCTCAACGGCTCCCAAGTCGGAGTTGCAACAGATCCTTAACTCAAAAATGTTTCTACTTTGTTACCACTTTGCCAATTTGACCTTATCAATTCTTACCAATAACACGTGCATTTTCCTGGCAATTGCTGCGTTCCATTTGACTGAGTCAATCGCACACTTCCTAATCACAAACAAAATTCTAACAAATCGGTAAAAACTTGTTTCTTTCCATCGCAACATTAATTCGCATATTTTTACAAATTATATTAAAGCTCATATAAATGTGTAAATACATACACACATGGATTATTAGAAGTTGACGACGCCAACAACAAATTAGCCATTCTGAATTTTTCGTGTACTTTGAAAACTTGTTTTATTTATTTGCTTTTTGTTTGCTCTGCCGTTGCTTGTAAGCTTATTGAACAATTATATTATGGCATAAAAAATGACAATAGCTCAATAAGCGATGTTTGCATGTGCTAACAGGGAAAAAAGAGTTGTGAATAACTAGGAGGATTTACGTTAAGAGTCTGAAGTATTATAATTTAACTATCATATCATATTTCATTGTTAAGCTCTTATTGCTTAATATTATCAATACAATTGATACTTTCATGGAATTTTCCATTAACTTCTCCCCACAAAACTGAAATATTTAAAATATTGCAAAAGCTACAATATGTGTCCGTATCCTGTGATACACGAACGCTTAACAAATATAAAGCTCTTTCAAATAAACATTAGATAAAAGTATATAAATCTCAAAATTTCTCTTTTACAGGTAACAAGTTGAAACCAATAAAAAAGTTATTCGATAGAATATTTAATAGGTAAAAAAGAAAAAGTTTAAGTTTATAACTTATTTTGTTATCAAATCAATAGAAATAATCTTTCTGGAATTTGCTATCCAAATATTTATTTTAAGCAAGAAACTAAGATCGACAATTAATATGGAATATAATTATTAGATAAGACTCAGTTTATCTTATCTTTTTAAACTTGTGTATGATTTTCCTGCTTTTTAAAATAAAAAATGTATTACTTATAGCCAATCCATATAATCAACATCACCCAAATCATGTTTTAAATTAAAAACATCAACCCCATTTTAAAGATTGTGACCAGGCAAAATCGATTCATGATCCGAAGATTTTCCAGACTCAGTGGAAACTTTAAGATAAGCATTTAGCATGCAAATAAAACAATTACAATAAATTATCGAAAAAAACCCAGTTACCCGAGCAGTTATTTTGTAACAGCATTTCGTCGGGTTTTTCTCACCCGCACGAACACAATGCAAATATGTGAGGTAATAATTGAGCTCGTTTCGCACAGTGTAAGTGGGGGAGGCAATGTCCGCCTCTTGATTCTTTTTACTTTTCTTATGATTCTCTTTAGTCTGCCCCTCAATTGTCGCTTCATTGAGAGAAGGCAAAATAAGGGGAAAGTAGAGAGGAAAAGCCACTTAATTCTATGCTGCATTTGAATAAACTGATCTGATATGCAAAACAAAACTATTAAGTGGGAAATTCGGGTTTAGACTCTATTGACAATAAAACTAGTTTGAAGTGTGGAAACATCCAGTTGTAGATGTTCGACTGTATTTCCACAATTTGTTGTATTATTTTTGTATTTTTAAAATTCGCGAACATAAGATCAAATTGATCTTCATTCTATATGAATTTTTCTTTTTGTGTGAAAGAAAGAGATGTAGGAGTACTTTCAACCTGGTTTTAGATGACCAATAATAGTGTAATCGACTTTGGACCTAACATTACAAGAAGTGCAACCAAAGAAGAGGAAGAAGTCGCTGAAACAGAAAGGCTAAATTCAACTTACCGTCGCAAGTTCAAGGCCAAGTGGCACTCTCTCGCACTGGAGCTCTCTTCTCTCACGCTCTGCGTGGGTCTTTGTGCTCTCTTCGCTCTGAGAGTGTTGTTGTTTTGTTACATGTAAAAGAACTTTCGTTTTCCGCCTGCAGGGGGTGGGGTGGGGGGTTGGTAGGGCGATATGGCCCACATGCAACTACCGTTAGCTCTCGTCCGATGTTGTTTTTCTTTCGTTTTTTCGCACTTCTCTTCGCTTCTTTTGTTGTTGTTTTCTGATGTTCGCCAAACAGGAGCGACTTTTTGTAAATTAATTAACAACACTCGCACACTCACTCCCCACACACGCACACACACTTGCGTTCATCATGCGAGCGCCCGCTTCGAGATAAGCACAGCAATTTATTTGCACTAAAATTTACTTTTGCGCGCTGAGCGAAACGTGGGCGAGGAGGTGGAGAGGGGGGCCGACGGGAGAGGAGAACTCACCACACACACACACTCACGAGACCGACGTAAGAGCGCACGTTTTCGCCAGTTTTTTGGGTATATATATTGTCAGCTGTATTTCGATCTGATATATAGCTAGTTCCCGATTAAGAGTCTCGTTTCGAAATCAATGCGATCGATTCAAAGTCTGATCGGTTTAATCTGGCGGAGCTTGCGACGAAACAAGTCAACAACGACGGAGCGCTACAACAAATGTGCTGCGGGAGCTTTGCGCGCATGGGTCACACTCGGGGACATTACGGTCACATCTATCGAATTGAGTGTATCGATACATCGATTGCGATACATTGATGGCGCCAAAAAGAAAATAAGTAATTGTCCTTAAATGCTATAAGGGTGCATTAATATTAAACTTAGTTGAACTATACCATAAATCGTATACTGAAGCAGATACTTTTAACAGTTCGAATTCACTATGGCAATTGAAAACTAATATCAATTATTTATATTTTAAATCGTAATCATGGTTAATGATATAATAAGTCTCAAGTCTATTAAAAGACTAAAGGATTAAACTACTTTTAAAAAATACAAAGTGAAAAAATTATTTTCAAAATATTTATGAAAAAAAAGGATCATTCTGTCGGTTCACCTGTTTTACGAAACTGCATCTTTTCCCGCATCTCGTACGGTCACACCACAAAACAAAAACAAAACAACAGTTTTTGCTTAAAGAAAACTTTACTTAAATAACTATTTTCACAGCAATGGTAGATTAGCTTTAAGCGCATCGAACTCATTCCTTGCCAGGGGCTTCAGATGGGTGCCAGAGAAGGGCGATTTGAACTCCAAATCGCGGTGTTTATTGACCAGTACTTTCTGGTCAGAATAAATCAGGTTAATTTGCTGCTCAATTTGCTGTTGATCTGAGGGTAATCATAGTCAGTACTAGAAATTAAAAGAAGAATCATTTACATACCTTTCTTAAGCAGATCCAAGGCCTTTTTCCGCTCCATTTTGACTAACATGCTGCCGATTGTGATCCATACTTTCTTGTCCTCCGAGTTTGTCATTAGACGCATTGCCTCGCGAGTTTCCTGGCGCCTTTTATCCATTACCGTCAGTTCATGTTTATTGGCCATAATCTTATCAGCCAACTCCTCAGTCTTGTTAATTATCTCGATACTTTTATCCAGATCTGTTTGCGACATTTTCGAGGAGTTTGGAAAACAAATAGTTCTGAACACGGAAGTAAACAAAAAAGTATACAAAATACACTAACGCGTCATGCTCAGCTGTTTAATCAGGGGTGCAGATAGTGGGAAGAAAAAGGGATTTCTGAAGCAATAAATATTTTTAAATTCATATCATAGCATAGTTATTTTTTAATTTTAAAACTTAGTCTTTCTCCATAATAAGTTAAAATCGAATAGCCCGAATATGTGACAAACAAATGCTCATAAGAGTGATTGTCCTCGAACGATTTAAAAACACCAGCATAAAAGCTCCATCTTTTGGGGTTTGCCGAACTTACTAAAAATTATAAATATTTTCTTCTAGGAGGATAATTAAAACACGTATTTCATATTGTTTATAAGAAAGTCAATGATATTTAAGCTCAACCTTGCAGTTGAGTACATACTGGTACACATTTATTCAAATCAGACACAAATAAAAAGTCAAAAAAAAAACACATGGCAATGGAATAAGGCAATAAGATATTAGCTTTTTTATCAATTTTAATACTGACACTCTGCAAACAAAAATGTCGAAAATGTGTGCCTTATTTTTAAAAAGAAGTGACTCAAAAACTTTTTAGGCCCCTACATTTGAGCATGTGCACAAAAATATATATTAGTTTCTTAAGTTTCTTTTTATATGTGTGAAGATTTAAAGATCATTATTTAGATACAATTGAATATATTTTTTAACCACTCTTTTAGAATGTTTCTCAGTGGTGATATATGCAGTTCAATCCATATATTTTATTATTCTATTATATGGTCATACTGTAGAACACTACAATTGTAAAGTACTGACCCCCTTGAAATCCGCTCTACCTCCGCCGCTGTTCAAATCACACTGAATCGCAAGCAAAGATGGCCGCGTCACAAGTAGTTTTGTAGTTCCGAGACGAGACGTTTGTTTACGAGCACAATCTCAACGGACTGGATCTCCGCCTAAAGTCCTGCAGCTATATATACTCACAGGGATTCCGAAGCAATGCATTCCACCGACAGCGCCAAAGGCCTGGGCAGCAAATTGACTGCAATCTGTTGCCTGCTCCTCCACCTCTTCCTCTTCCCACAGCCAGCGGCATCACAGGTAAATTCAAGTCTATAAACAGGGCATTTTATTAGTTACAGAGTTTACTAAAGCCGCCACGCTTCTTGATCCAAACAAACATATGTTTGCAGTGTTTGCACAGATGTTATATTTGGTATATTGATTTGCTGCAGTATGTAATGTGCAAGTGTGCGTGGGTGCTAGTACTCCGTGGCATTTTTTTGTTCCCCACCTGGGCTAATCTTAATCTCTAAAACCCCTTTTCAGACTCAAAGTTCGCCGCGTTATCTACAGAATGGGGATAACAACAACGATCGCATGCAGCAGATTCTCAAGGGATCGGGAGCAGTATCGGGGGTCACGCAGCTCAATTGGCCACAGCCGCCCAAACAGACGATTCCCAACGTCAGGACTGAGCTGGCTAAGCTTAACAACAGTGAGTGGACATTCCCTAATATCCAATCATCCTATAATGTAAATGAATCCCTTTCCCAGCATACCTTTACCAGAGTGCCTGGCCGGCGAAGAATGTGAAGCTCGGAGCAGTGACAGCCGTAAGCTTCGACAAGGCCGGCAACGTGGTGATCTTCCACCGGGTGGACCGCATCTGGGGACAGAGCACCTTCGACTTGAAGAACGAGTTCCAGGAGCAATACCGTGGTCCCATCAGGGAGAGCACTATCCTGGCGCTGGAGCCCTCAACGGGCGAAGTGCAATACGAATGGGGAAAAAACTTGTAAGGAAAAAATTAATAATTAATATCAAGGTGCTAGTTCACCCAACTACGTAGTTCTGCAAAACAGAAACTAAATTATACCCCTGCAAGATGACTTTCAAAAGTAAAGGTTATTCTAGATCACATTAATATAAATTAGCATACATACGTCCAATTTTTTTGTTACCTTGAACTTTGGTTTATTTTCAAGGCAGAAATAGTATTTCGCCATTTATTTTTATATATGTACATTTAAATGTAAATAGTCGAACCCCTCTACTTATTTAAATAATGAGAGCATCTTTGAATCTCTGTCCTATGAGTTAAACCTTTATAATAAAATTTTTTTTACCCACAGCTTCTACATGCCGCATGGTTTAACCGTCGACCCCGAAGAGAACGTTTGGCTGACGGACGTGGCCATGCACCAGGTCTTCAAGTTTCCCCCACGTGGGGGCAATGGAAAGCCACTGCTTTCTCTTGGCGAGAGATTCAAACCCGGCTCAGGTCGGAAATTCTGCAAGCCTACATCAGTGGCGGTGCTAGACAACGGTGACTTCTTCGTGGCGGATGGATACTGCAATGCCCGAATTCTTAAGTACTCGCCGGCTGGCGATATAATCCTCACCTGGGGACAGAACTCCTTCGCCGGGGTCTCCTACGACGTGGCGCCACAGAACTTCTTTGCCATTCCTCACGCCCTGACCCTCGTTCCGGAGCTGGATCTGCTGTGTGCGGCGGATAGGGAGAACGGACGAGTGCAGTGCTTCTTCTCCATCAACGGCACATTCCACTCACAGTACCACAGCCAGCTGATAGGGGACCGCCTCTTTAGTATGGCCTACACCCCGGCAGCGGGTGAGTGGATCAATCTTCTCCTGATATCGGTTTTTATGAGGTGTCACAAGAATCTTGCGACAATTTGACGTCACTTCCAAATTCCGTGGGTTTCGCAGGGCTTGTCGAGATTTCATTATTCAGATCACTATAACGGAGCCTCTAATATCTTACCCCTAAAAATATCCCTTTTCCACTACAGGTGGGCAGCTGGTCATCGTGAACGGACCCACTGCCGAGTTGGGCATACATCCTGAGCACTACAACGAGGTGCACGGCTTCGTATTGAACATGCGTAGCAAACAGCTGGTGTCCAAGTTCGGGCCCAATAACTTGGAGTTCCACAACCCCCACGACGTGGCCGTCACAGCCGACGGCAACGAGATCTATGTGGCCGAGCTGAATCCCATGCGCATCCACAAGTTCGTGCACAGATCGCAGGCTAAGCCGATGTCCTTGTCGGCCACCAAGGATTCCAGCAACAGCGCCATCAGCAAGTCTGTGGGGGAGGAGCCAGCGCCGTTGCAAACGGTGCACCATCCCAGCGGCAAGGCCATTCTTGTGGCCTCGCTCATGCTACTCTTCGCCGGCTCCACTTTCGCTATGGCTCTACTGTTCGCCCGACGAAGGAAAAGAGGTAACCAAGCGATTAACTCCGCTCCGCCCAGCGACCTGGTCTACCGCAAGCTGACCTCTTCCAATCAGAGTCTGTGCTGATCTGATCCTCAGTGCTAAACCTTCACTCAATGTCCTGTGTTGTGCTGTGCTGTCCCTCATACTATAAATAACCTGTATTTATAAGTTTGAATTGGTTAACATTTAAGTTTACATCTGAATCTCCTCGGTACAAATTCCTGCTTTTTTGGTTTCGTACAGTATGCAACTCTTATTATTTACGATTGTTCTGTCTTTCTTTGCACATATATTTTGTATTAAATATCTTGTAACTAAATTCATGTTGCATTTAGCATTCCCTTTTATACAAATCTTTTATAAAAAATACACAAGCATGATATAAAAAATTTCGTTCATATATTTATATATTTTCGGTTTGTTTCAGTGCACGCCAGATCGCAGATCTATGCATGATTTAAGAGGGAAATAGTATCTAGCTGTGTTTTTGTGCACCAGAATCTTAAGGCATCCGTTAGTTAATCCCCAATACCAACATTTTCCGCAGGTTGCCTTCCATTCGGAGCCCGCAGTCGTCGCCATGCATGGGAGAAGAGCGAGGGCTTCAAGCTGGGCGGATTGCTTGATCGGGATCGCAATGGCTTCGAGAAGCTTGACCAGCAAGCCAGCGACGAGGAGCAGGAGACGACGACGCTGGCTGGCGCCCAGTTTGCCTAGGCGAAGGACCAAGACTTACACAAGCTAACAAAGCATTCCTAGTTCTAACTACCTGTACCTCATTGAACTAACGACTTAGTTGTACTTGTCCTATGTGTGACTTTTGTTTGTGAATTTAATTTATTTTTTTTAAGGGTTGCCTTCCGCAGAGAACTCCGATTATGAGTAGTGACTTTTTACAATTTTATGAAATGTGTTTTTAAATTTTCCTTACTGTGCCATAACTTTTTAAACGCTAACCAGTTATTGGTTGGTATTTTACAATGTTTGGATGACCAGATGTGCACACATTTATAAAAATAGTCATGTTACTCTTTGTATAACTTTTTGAAGCAGAAAGACTTTTAAGAGCAAACGTTTTTAATTGTAATTTTTTATAAATATGACTTACTAACCCCATCCATGCTCGAAAATATCTGAGATATAATTCCATGAACTTATAATTTTTATTTTGAAAGATTACAATCGAAATTCTCTGCCGAATACGCTTAATTTCTTGACTTACGCTGCGATTGATTTGCCAAATGGAATATAGTCTTATGAATCTGTCATAGTGTGTATTTATTCAATGTCTGCGGCTAAAACTTAACTAGAATTCGTTATAAATATGTTTATATTGCATATTGATTGTATCGACTAATAAGGCCCCATAGTGGCGAATATTTCTGCCCTTCGTCCCCGCCGCGGATCGTCCAGATCCCAGAAGACCCAGTCTTTAGCTTCTGGCTGGCAATCAGACAACCTGGGCGAGGAATCCCTCGTTCTCCTCCGTCACAATAGCATCGATGTTGTAGAAGATCGCGTGCATTGCAATCACGAAACAGGAGGCGCCCAGTGTCCAAAAAAGAACTGAGCCCGCACCCACCAGAAAGAGGACGGGCGCTGTGGCCAAGTTGAGGGCGATTATCTGTTGATTGGGTGTCAACTGGTGGCCCACCACTGTGATGTTGCTGTTGCGCACTCGTAGTTTGTGGCAACCTAGGGCAGCGGCCACGATTACCAGCAGGATGCAGGGTGCCGTGATGCTGGAGGAGGGTAAGACTATTAGATATGAAGCTCTTGCTAGACTTTAAGTTCACTCACAGGCAGTAGATCATCAGGACGAAGAAGATGAAGACGTAGTTGGCCTGGAAGTAGGAGAGATTCCGTAGGATACGGTTATTCAGGCGCTGCATGCTGACGGCCGTCTTGAAGTTGTTGATGTTGAAGAAGACTATCCAAGGTCGCAGAGAGTTGCGCACCATTTGGAAGATCTGCAGCGGCGATGGCAGGTTGGACAGGGTGGGCAAGCTATGGGGAGAAATGTCGTATTAGTTCAGATGCCTTCATTGTTATAGGTCACTCACCTTTGAAGGTCCACGGAGAACCTGCCTCCCGAAGGCGGTGGCGGCTGCATGTTTCCGGATAAGTTTCCGCTGGGTTGGGCCATTTTGAGCGCGCTTTTTTAGCCTTTCGTTAACTCTTTCCCTAGTGACACGTCTTCGCTGCAATCTGCGGCTCTTCTTTTACCATGTGTGGACGCTCTACAAGTGTTGTGTGTTTCTCCGCATTCGTTCCACTTGTTTCGAGAATGGTTTTCGGATGCTGCAGCGTTTGGGGAGCAACGGGGACTTTCCCGGACCCACTTTTACATGGAGATAGAACGACACACAAGGCTGCTTTTGATGTTGCTATCACAATTTACTCTAAATTTTCTATGACATTGTTTTTTCTGGTAAACAGTATACAAAGTTTTAAAAAATCTGATGTGGCAGATAGTTCTAGGATTGCCGTGATGGTAAGTGTGACCAGGGTTGTGGGTATGCAAATTAGCTAGAACATTGCACTGGAAACATTTCCATAGCCTGAATATTGGATTAAATAAATCGAAAAGTTACCGTTATTATAAAAAATTTTCTTTTGAATTGTTCTGTCCTTTAGATAAACACTTTTAATAATTGTGTTTTGATTTTCTTTTTTTCAGATACATTTTCAAATGTTATGAAAAAATTGTAGACCCCTTGCTTTTCAACAATTAAACAGATTAATTCAGTTCACTAAAACAGCAGTAAACAAACCGTTGAAATTTCGGAAATATATATTTAACTGCAGTTAAAGTGTGCACTATGAATATTCGATAGCAACTGCCTATCAGCCGCTTTGTTTCCAGCTTTCTCTGCCACGTGTGATTTGGTCACACTAAAAGTATTCTGTAGATTTGGTTGGTTTTGGAAAATTCCCGAAATTGTTGCGAGGCTGGAAACGAAGTCGATCCTAGCACAAACCTATCCAAAAGCACAAATCCCTTAAATATATAGAAATCCGCAGACATGGCCGACGACTGGGGTGAGTTTCCTGTGGCGGGGGCGGTGCGTCATCTTCGGCGGACAATAAACGTGGTCGCCGTCGTGGTTGCTGTTGTTGTTGGAGTGCCATGCAACCAGCCTTGATGCTTATTTTTAGCCCCTGCCAACTAACCGTATTCGAAACCCTTGTAATTTGACGATTTTACTGTGATTCATCCTGTAATATTTCAGAATCCGCAGCAGACAGTGAAGTGGTCATCCGACCAAATGCAGCCGCCAGCGTAAACAAGTGGGAGGGCGAGGACGAAGACGAGGACATCAAGGTGGGGCCACTAAAATTCAAACGAAACCGAAAGCAATGTTGTATGCAGATGTGGCAAAGCGCACAACAACAAAAGTCAGGGGCCAAAACTTGTTTTTGTGCACTCGGTTTCACTTTCGTTTTGCTGTACACGTGTGCACTTTCGGACCAGACTCACACAATCTTTTGCATTTTCCCACCCACAGGACAGCTGGGAGGATGAAGAAGAGAAGAAGGATGAGGAGAAGCCCACGAAAACAGAAGCCCCATCAAAGCCAAAGCCAAGCAAGGCGTTAAAGGCCAAACTGGAGCAGCAAGCGGTAAAAGAAATTTTAACTAGACTTCACAGAATATTATAAAAAATCATAATCTTTCACAGCGCTTGGAGGAAGAGGCGGAAGCGGAACGACTGGCAAACCTCTCGCCCGAGGATAAGCTGGCCGAGAAACTGCGTCTGCAAAAAATACAGGAGGCCTCAGACCTCAAACACGCTCAAGATGCATTTGGCGTGACGAGTACGAGCGGTGGCCTGGACGCATTCAACCCGGAGAGCAAAGAGGAGTTCAAAGAGTTCGGTGCCACGCTCAGTTGGAAAGTGTCCCAATACCGCGAGTCGGAGCACTTCCCCCAGTTTGTCGAGGACCTGGTACGCAGCCTATGCGTGAACCGTGAGTGATCATCTGGCTTATGCTTGGGCATACCCCTTATCTGATCTGATTTTCCGTCTTATCAAGTGAGCGCCGCTGACATCAAGAAGGTCAAGATGAACGTGGAAATCTTGCACTCGGAAAAGCTCAAGCTAGAGAAGGCCAATGCCAAGAAGCCCGCTGGCAAGGGCAAGGGCAAGGTCACTCTGCGCACCGAGAACGACGTGAGTCCTTGGATCCTAGTTTAGATCAATCAGATTACTAATTAAACATATTCTTTCACAGGATATTGACGGCTACCAAAAGTACGGCAATGACTTCACCGAAGACTACGACGACTTCATGTGAATAGGATCTATATTGTAGCCCGCATATATATAATTATTGAATACATAGTTGCTTGTTGAAGAGTTCTTCTTGTTAGAGATGCTGCGCAGGAATTTGAGTCCTTTGTTGAATATAAAATAGCAGAACCTATATAAATATGTACATATATATTTATATGACCATAAAGAACAACAAAAAAACACAGTCAAGTCAGGCAATCAAGAAACCTCAACGAACACGCAAATCCAATACCAAACCGAAAAAAATATTTAAGCAACTGACTTATGGCAAGTGCATATGTATATGTCGTATTCGGAATGGCTTCTTGTGAAATTAACTTTTGTATAAAGAATAAAACTACAGAACGATATTAAACGGTAATACCAATCTCATTATTATGGGTACCTGGGAAATCGTTTTATCAAATTGTGAAATATGAACTGTAGGTCTTAGTAATTATCTTACTAGATTTTAAATAAAGAATATTATAAATTATTACTTTTACACGGCAATATACAAACTTTTTCAGATAATACTGACATGCTCTCATATTTCGGAAATTTATGATCTTTTAAGCATGAAAATAGTTTGCGCCTAAATTTTAAATTAATTTCTTGGATAGGAAAGAAGAAGCATTGCAAGCGATGTTGTTTGATTTGATTTGAAAAATGGCTAGGAAATAAATAGCTAAATAACAATATCGCTCTGAAAATTATAATAAACCAATTTAGTATTTGGTTAAATGATTACTTTACACAAAAAAATAAAAAAGTTTTTATTTATTGTCTCATCGGCTTGCTATTTGAATGTCTTATCTATAAACTACCCTATTTGTAAAAAGCTACCTTTCACTTAGCTCTAAACTAGCTAGGTGTCCATCGCTAGCGTCATTCGATACACGTGCGATACTCAAACAAGAATGAGTGATTTTAACAAGTATTGCCAAGGTTTAACTATTTTTAATTCTTCCAAATTCAATTTACTTATTATTTGCTCCTTGCAGAAGCTGCCGCCGAGGAGCTGCCAAGTTCGGAAGACGAGGAAGACATCGGCGACGAGGACACCTGTAGCGCTCAGGTTCTTGCCGCCGAATTCCATTTGCAGTACAGGCCACAGGACGAATCTAGCGTTTCCCTGCAACGTGATTATGTCCTTAGTCTATCCGCCGACCAGAGCTTCACTCGGATTGCCGCAGGATTGTCCAATTCCGCCGTTCACATCTACAATCTGGATGCCGGAGCCGGTAAACTTTCAAACTTCAGTTACCTTCCACCTACGGAATCCGAGCAAGTGAGCATTTGTGGCGTCCACTTCCTCGACGAGGGACCTCACAACATCCTCGTGGGCACCACCGATGGCTATGTACGCCTCTACGATCTGCGTATCAAGGGCGAACAGGCTAGGTTCAATTATACTCAGCACAAATCGGTGGCTCTAGTGCCCAAGTCGATAACGTGCTTCGACAGGAACGCCAACGGGCGGATCATCTGCTGTGGCACCAATAAGTTTCAAAGCAACGTGTTCCTGGTGTTCTACGATGTCCGGGAACGACGGCAGATGGGCGTCTACTGCGACAGCCACGAGGACGACATCACCTCTGTGCGATTCCATCCCCAGAATCCGGATACACTGGGAACGGGTAGTGTGGACGGGCTGATCAACGTGTTCGATGTCAAGGAGGCGGACGAGGATGAGGCACTGCTCAACACCTTCAACACAGAGAGCAGCGTTGCCCGTCTGCAGTGGCACAGGAATGTCTACGACAAGGACGTCATATCTTGCATTACGACCACAGGCGATTTTAAGAGCTACGAGAGCGAAGAGGGCGACGAGGTATCTTCCTTTGAGCGGCCAGACGTCACAGCGGCCATAAGGCGCAAAAATGCATCAAATTTCAACTTGATTAATGCGCACAACCAGGAGGACGGAGAAATCTTCCTGCTGGCGGGCACGAATTTCAACAAGGGGTGAGACTAAAGCTTACGTTTGCCTTTTACAAAACTAAATATTCTTCTTTTAGGGAGATCCTGCGCTCCGTGAGCGTTACCACCAAAAATAGTCTACAACCGCTGGCCAATTTTCAAGGAAACAAGCAGATCGTGAGGGAAAGTCTGTATGATTCCAAGAGCAAATCACTGATAACAGGCGGCGAGTCCGGAATTGTTACGGTTTGGTCGCCAGACTCAAGAGGAAGCACCGTCGTCGGTGACAAGCTTAAGGTCAAAAAGGAGAAGAAGTCGCGAAAGCAGGCTCCATATTAAATGTTTATTTTTTTAATAAAAGTTTACTGAACCAAGTATTTCAAATTGGTTTTAAAGTCTGGCAGCATGGGCGCACTGACGGACAAAAGATCGCTGACATGAAACGGGCTTACGTAGAACGTAACGAAGTTCGTTACGAAAGTGTTGCACACTTTGTGATACTGCTTTTGAGTTTAATGTAGAATGAATGTAACATTTGTGTAGAATTTAAATTTAGATTAATTTCAAGGAGTTTTGTAGGGGAGACAATACTGCATCCAGTATATATATAAATATATTAGCTTATTTTAAGTTACTAAAATCATCCCCTGGAATACACGGCCATCAACCTGCCCTGCATAATAACTGCTCAACTGCAGCTTAAGCTCGTAAAAACTTTTTAGTATTCATGGTTTCGGCATTAACGATGCCAATTATGGCAGCGTTTTATTTAGCTTCACATTTTGTTGTCTTTTTTGGGAGAGTGGCAGCGACGTCGGCAGAGGAGAGTTGGGCGTGGCCGCTGCCCCAAAAAATGGGAGCTAACTCCATGGAAACGCCAGACGAAGTCCACCAATCGGTGGCAAGTCTCTTTTAATAGAAGAGCGCATGCGCAAAGAGAGAGAAAGTGCGCGAGCGGAAACCAGTTTGTATCTTAAAAAAAAAAGAAGTATGGGGCATGTGGGGGTGGCTGATAAAGATGGCCGTCGCCTTCCGCGGCAGAGGATGCAGCAGAGCAGTGGAATCGCCTCAGACTCAAAGTCACAATTATGGGGCACTCATTCATTGCGGTGTATGATGCAAACAGCGCCCCAGCCGCGCCCCCTTTCCCAACACTTTGCTGTACAGTCGGACGTCTTTAACTCGAATTTACTTGTTTTTACACAAATTGTTCGTTTTTATTCCCCAGAATCCGAACTTTAGTTATTCGCTTTTCTCTTGGGTTTTTATCATTAGAGATTTTTATCAATAACCTTGGTACCCTTTGTTGAATCGATAATCTGGCGAAATTCTTAAAGATAGAAAAAGATAGAACTTAAAGTTCAACTCTCAGCCATAACTGAAGATGGAAAAAGTGGGCCCAAATGGTTTCAGTCAGTTATATAATGACTGGCATAGCTATAATTTTCGTAATACTTCATAAAAATATTTGTCCTATGAATAAACATTTGGTTTCGCCCGATCATCAGTATAGTATCTTTCTCTTAAAGAGATACATACACAATTTTCGCAAACAAATATATTGTCAGTTCCTTTTATTTGGATTTTTGCAACAATGATCCCAGTTCTAGAATTGAAGCAATTATTGAAATTTTCATCCAAAATTCTTTTAAACCATGAAGCAATCTCTAAAAAATAAATTAAATCGATTAGAACATTTTTAAAATCTTCCTTTTAACACCTTAAATAATCTCTAAGAAATCAACGAAAATCTTAATGTTCTCGATCTATTTAAATTAAAAAGAATCGAATATGGGAAAGATATTTCTTGGTTCAGAAATAAAATAGAGAAAAATAGTTCAAATTGTAATTGTATAACACTAAGTTTCAAATCTGTTGTTTATATGGAAACAACAACTCAAACATTAGTTTATTGCATTAACAAGACCGATAAAAAAGTATTTCCACGGGGCAGACTGTTGTGTTGGCGTTACAGATGCCCGACTGTATGTCTCAGTTCTCCGATGTGTTTAATCAGACAGCCAAGGGGGGAAAGGAGGAGGACGAGGAGGTGGAACAGGCGAGGAAGGAGCGTTCTCCTAGTTGACGAGTTAACAGCAATTAGACGTCGACGCCTCACGCTGGATTCGCTTTATTGTTGGTTTATTGAGCGGAATCTGCAGCGTCCCTCTGTTCTCCCCCTTCCCTCTTCGTTGTTGTAATTGTTTTTCGGGGGTGGATGGCTCAGAGGAGAGGAGGGGGGTGGCGGTAGAGGGCGAGGGTGTCAGTTCACCCGCTGACATTAATTGGTTGTGTACGAGCCAATTTGGCGTAAAAGGCGCTAAATTGATTGCCCTGCGGTTTTAATCGATGCGCATTCATTCCAAATCACGCACATTTATCACCCGTTGAACCAAAACCCCCCCCTCTGTGAGCCACCCACGCATCCACACACCCCCTCCCCCTCCCCTCGCCCCTCTCCCCTTTTTCACAATGAGATATATAGATATAGAGATATAGAAGCTGCGTCACATCTGCGCTGTTTTATAATTGCCGGCAATTGCTGGCCGTCCGAGCAATTAACTGAAGCTGCCGAAATCAAAACAGAGGCTGCCTGCTTCCTTATATCCTGCAGATCCCGGAGGTCCTGCAGATCCTGGCCATCATATAAACCCGTTATATAACCGGACCGTAATTTGACGGAATTCGCAATGCTACCTGGGAATCGTTAGTCCTTTCGCCGTTTTTTTTCGTTTATTTATTTGCCCAGTCAGTTACGCGGAAGTCGGAGCTGTTTTTTAGCCAACGGATTGGCAAGAGGTAAAAAGGATAATGCCAGGATTTCCGCGAAACTGCCGCTCGTAGGGTTATGAAATTTTACGCAAGCTGCTGCAACTCCGAAAAAGGAGTCGAAGGACCCGTCAAGGACTCTGGAGAAACGTCGGACAAAGGGGTTCTGCTGGCTAATGAAAGGATTTAGCAGGAAGTTTCGCTCAGCCTCGCAGGATGTCCATAATTGCACGCAATCAGCGCATAATCCCCGCATCATCTCCGCAATTTGGCTGAAGAGGAAAAACTTGGCCCGAACAAAGACGCGAGTTATGGCTAAAAAACGCAACGGCGGACAAAGGGGAAATGGGAAATGCGTTGCCGAATTGTTGACTTTGCAGCCTTGACACTGGATGCCTGGCTATCTGGATATCTGCTACCAGGAGATGGACAGGTATGCCGAAAGGATTTGATGCGCCCGCCCCCGCGAATCGAATCGGGGCAACTTAATTGCCAGAAATTCTCAAAACAAACGAAAACAAACAAATAAACAGAAGGGGGCGAAAGGATTGGATTTAGCCAACTGACTTGGCTGACTTTGCTGACTTCATTAGGCCCGAACCAGATTGACTTTCTGCGGATCATCTGGGGTAATCGCAGATAATCCGGTTACTCTGGACACCGGGAACTCGCGAGGCGCAGGCAGGGCTGGCCAGGATTAGGGGCGGACCCAGTGCAGAAGTCAGTTGCAAATGCGAAAGGATTAGACGGGTTCAGGTCAGTCGGTGCAGTGTGCAGTGCGCAGTGTTCTCGGCGGTTTCTGCTGCGGGTTCCGCCCAGCCAGAAACGCCCTAATCCGTTTACGCCTCGAAATTAATGCAAACATTTAGAAGGATTATCGCCCTAAAGGGGTTGACTGGGTGTTCGGTTCGGGTGAAACTGGCCTGGCCATAAAAGCATGATAGGATTGCTAATTCGCCGCTACTTGTTGTCCATTCTCCGGCCATTGTTATAGCCAGGATTTGCCAATCTCAACTGCCACTTGGCTGCGGTTCCTTTGGGATCCTTTTCTCTCCTTTTTGCTCTCCTGGCAGAGCGTATCAAAAGCCGTGGCACAATTATGCATTTCAGGGAAGTGATTAGGCCACAGATTAGAGCCAAAGAGTTGACAATATTTGTGGATTAGTCTCGGACTTGCCGTGGATCAGTGGCAGGTATGTGTCTGCTTATCATTACTGAGTTGTGACACTCTATGTAGATTCACAGATTCACAGATTCCCAGATTCCTAATCCCAATCCCGATCTAGATCCCCCTTTGATCCGCCTCAAGGACAAAGGACACCAGGAAGTGGCGGCACTTCCGCAGGACATGGCCTCAAGTGGCTGGCCAAAGGATCGCCGCAATCTCAATTAGCAGGCGCCATCGGCAATCGAAATGGGCCACCCTCGAGTTGGGCAGACGTACTCGTAAAAAGATCGATTTAAGGGAGCTGCAGATCCGGACTACTACTTATATATATATATATGTATACATGCCGCAATATCTTAAGTGCCTGAGAACTGTGAAGTGAAGCAGCAATTATGTTGTCGTCGCTTTGATCTGCTGCCTGCCACTTGGAGTTGCAGATACAAATGCATCTGTGGCCAAACCACTCGGATCCCAAGTCGATTTCCCTGTTTAAGCATTTTTTAATTGTATGCTAATTGATGGCATCCATGGGATATTTTTGGCTTTCGGATGTCGGATTCCGGACTCGGGATTCCAAGCTGCCAATGGGGATGAGTGGGAGCCATTTTGAGCAGCACTCTATTAAACTGTTGTTTATTCATCAGAGCAGCAGATACAGATACCTATACCCAGCTAGAGATACAGATACATATACCCAGCTAGAGATACAGATACAGATACAGATATCTAAATATCCAGGGATACATTAGGCGAAAGCGCTTAGTGTTTTATGGAGGATTGAGGGCGTGGGCCATAAACGACTAATCCCACTCGAATTCCGGCTAGGATCGCGCAGATTGTCGATATTTTGATTTTTAGCATGCTAAAAAGGACACGAAGGACAGCAGGAGCGAACGCAAATGGCCTGTGAAAAAAGAAGAAAAAGTCGCAGCACGCAGATAGGCAACAATGCAGCAGGTCGAAGGTCATGCGTTCGGTGGTTTTGGTTTTGGTGGTGCTGCTGCTGCTGCTGCCGTTGGCGGTTCCTTCAGATAATAGAGGGGGGTGGGGGGAGGAAGCGAGGCAAGGTCATTCCGCCCCTAATCGGCGTGACCGCTGGCACAATTAATCCGCCTAATTTGCATGTCACTTGCCGTTTTGTGGCTATTAACGGCGGTCCATTTCAAAGGGGGATCCCCGCCAGTCGTGTGAATCTTCGATGGAATTATTTTTGGGCGGTGGGAGCTTTGAACTACGGAGAGTCCTGCGGCTTTCCTAGTATGCGACACATCCTTAACCAGGCCCCGATTTCGCCGACAACCTTGTGACTTTGTGATTTACTTTTTTAGCCCCGACCCATTAACAGATCATTTGCCGTCGAAATGCCCGCTTTTTGTTCTGCATTTTTTTACGATTTGAACCCTGGATCGGGATCGTTGGAAAGTCAGTTCTAAAAAAATATTCCGCGCACCGCAGCGAGTCAATTTTTTTACGGCCTTTGGCCAAAAGGCAAGGTCATCGAATGCCTACCATTTGGTTCCGCTTCCGAATTCCGCGAAATGCGAATTTCTCGGGGCTGGCAGAAACCTGGAAACCTAAAAACCTGAAACTAGAACTAGAATTCCAATGCAGTTTTTTTATGCCGCCTAATTTTTATGGCCTAAAAAACGGAACCGAGCCCAAGCGAATATCATCTCCGCCATAAAACGCCGCCTAGGTAATGCCCGAAATGCTTGAAATGCTCGAAAAAAACTGAGAGTCGAGCGCTAAAAAGGACAAGGGCCGCGACAGGACAAAGAGTCCTGCTCGAGACGAGCCGTAAAATTCGAGAAAAAATGATTTCATTTTTTAGAATCAGTGCGCGAAATGTGAGCAGAGTCCTGAATCCTAGAGTCCTCCTGCGGCTTTACGATGGCCATTAAAGCCCCTAAAAAAATAACGCGAAAAAAACGAGAATTGTAAATCATGGAAATGGGAGGAGGGTCCTGGGTTCGAGGTTCGGGGTTCGATGGTGGGTGTTCCAGGTTCGAGGGGCAAAGTCAAACCGCAATAAAGTTGACACGTCGTGCGCAGGATCTGAAAAAGTCCTGAGGCCCTGAACTGCGGAATCGGTAATCGGCCGTCCTCCGCCACATAATGTAAAGTGCTCTATGTATCTGTATCTGTATCCGTATCTGTATCTGTATCTATCACTATGTGAGCAGTGTGTATCCAGGACATGCGCAAAGGACCCTATAGATGCTGACTGCTGGCCACACCAGTGATTGCCGCAATCATTCTAGTTTCATTATCTGGCCTGCAGATTTATAGCCCTCCTGCCCCTGCGAATGACCCGAAAAGCTGCAACTTCGGACAGCCGCAGCATCCATCAGGGCAATTGATTCGGGCCTCTAACTGCCAGTTCCCATTTACAGTGAACCCTGACCAATTGCCGACGTATCGTATCATCCACCCCCCCTCACACACACTGTATGGAAATGTTGGCTAAACATGAGTTTGATTGTCGCGATTATCAGGCCGTTAATATCCATGAAAATGACGAGGCTGGCGGGCAGAACAGAAATGCGAATCAGATAAACGGCGCATGGTCCGTTAATGGACAGCGTGCAAATTGGCAAACATGCCATGGATACATATATTAATATCTGAATGTGAATGTGAATTTGAATCCGAATCCGTGGACACATGACGCATATACTCGTCGTATGCTGTGTGTGCGAGAAACGTGTGAAATTATTTCAGTGCTGGCATCATCATTTTACAAAGATGTTTATTCATCGGCTGGCTGATTGCAAAACCCCTCATCTTCACCTCAGAGGTGAGGTATCTATTGGCAGGGCTGTAAAGTATTTTCAACTTCGTTTAGCGCTCTCGACTCTTGGCCACAATTGCTGTGTGAATGGAGACTGCATCTGTGGGATAATCCTGCTCTCTAACACGGGGGTATTGGATAACTATGACTAGATCCATCTTCAGATCTTGCCGTTTGCCCAACTGGAGATCTCCCTCGCCCTCTGATGATCACTTTATATTCATTGACAGTTAGTGTGAAATTCGTAGCTCATAAATCGATGGAGAGCCCGAATTGCGGTCGTCTTGGCCACAAAAGCTGCCTTTTGTCGGCTCCGCAGCTGGAAAGCGGAGAGCAGGGCCATAAACGGCCAATTCCGAGGTGCTAATTCACTATTAAAAGAAATCAGAAACAGCAATAGCAATAGCAACAACTGAAACTGAAACATAAACTCCGAACTAAAGCCAATCCCTAGTTCCTCGCTCACTCACTCATCACGCCCCAATAAAACTTAATTTTGTTTGCACATCATATGGCAGAGGTATAGAGCCTTGGCTGTTGAATAATGCATTGTTTTCTGTTTTCCTTGTGAGACGTGGGAGAACTTCGCATGAAGTGCCGACCATTCATGGCAGTGTATCTGGATATCTGAGTATCTGAGTATCTGCTATGTATCCATGGGATTCAGCATTGATTGCCCCCATAAATGGAGGTAATATCTCGGTTCTCCAGCGGAGACAATGCCGAATTAGAGTCGAATGCCTAATTGATAATAATATCGCATTTACCCCCTCGATCCCAAAAATCAGTTAACTCTTTTATGCCGCCGGTTGAGCAGCTGTTTCCAGTTACCATTTACCATTTACCACCGACTATTTACCAGTTCCCATCTGCCCTTTTGGACCAACTAATCCTCTTGCCAGCCATTTCGGCAGCTTGTCGCATAATTTTGCAATAAACAACTTGATGATTTCTGTATTTCAACAGGGCTAATCCGTAATCCCCACATGATTAATTATCAACCTGCGTTATCCACCACCCAGCAATTGGTTTTTTCCTCTCGACAATCCTGCAGAGATTTCCTGTTTGGCTATTTTTTAATTTACTGTATCCGAATTTGCCGGGGGAATTCCCCTGAGCGCGTATCTTTATTATCAAATCATAAAATGCTGCCACTTGTGTGCTCGCATGCCATCCCCCAAGTGAAAAGGACCAGCCAAACAGTAGCCGCAGAAAAACAACCAGGAGCAGGAGTAGGAGCATCCGGATGAAAGGGGTGTGCCACTCCAGAACTCGAAGGATAACACTTCACGGACCATTTTTTATGCCTCGCCTGGCAAGTGTCAAAACATGTTTTGATGCCAGGCGCTCAATTAGATATTAGACACAGCCAGGATCAGGGGTGACTGGGTGTATCCTTGTATCTCTATCGTATAACCCCCCACCTCCCCTTTCATATCCCTTCCTCCTTCTTTATACCCTTGCAGAGGGTATTATAATTTTGGTCAGAAGTTTGTAACGCAGTGAAGGAGACGTTTCCGACCCCATAAAGTATATATATTCTTGATCAGGATCAATAGGGGAGTCGATATAGCCATGTCCGTCTGTCCGTCTGTCCGTCTGTCCGTCTGTCCGTCTGTCCGTCTGTCCGTCTGTTTCAATACCGTTTGCGAGCTCAGTTTAAAAGCTAGCGATCTGAAACTTTCACAATCGTCCTAAAACATATGTACGCAGATCAAGTTTGAAAATCGCCCCGATCGGACGTCTATATCCTATAGCTCCCATAGGAACAATTGGATATATCTTGCAAGAATTTATGATATTTCGCGCAGTGTAAAAGCTATTGACATTAATCTTTACAAATCGTATTTTTTTATGCATACCTTGATCAGGGTAAAAGCGCGTGGCGATCGGACGTCTATATCCTATAGCTCCCATAGGAACAATAGGGTAAAATCGGTTAAAATTTAATGATTTTTAGGATATTTCGCGCAGTTTAAAAGCTATTGACATAAATCTTTCCAAATCTTATTTTTTTATGCATACCTTGATCAGGGTAAAAGCGCGTGCCGATCGGACGTCTATATCCTATAGCTCCCATAGGAACAATAGGGTAAAATCGGTCCAAATTTGATGTTTTTCAGCATATTTCGCGCAGTGTAAAAGCTATTACCATAAATTTTTTCAAATCGTATTTTTTTAGGCATTCCTTCATCAAGGTAAAAGCTCGTGCTGATCGGACGTGTATATCCTATAGCTCCCATAGGAACAATAGGGTGAAATCGGTCAAAATTTGATGTTTTTTATTAAGAAGACTTCGGGCTTATTATTTTACACATTTGTTATTCTTTTCGCTACTTTTTCAATTTTAGCAATTGCGGCTAAGTCTGCAAGGGTATTAAAACTTCGGCTTGCCGAAGTTAGCTTCCGTCCTCGTTTTTTGCTGACTCTGGTTTTTAGCTGCGGGATTATGAGCAATTGACACCCCTTTGAGCCTGGCTAAGCAATTGAAACACATGTTTTGCCCGGCAATTAAATAGGGATTTGATTTGTTCTCTCCTCTCTTTCACTCTCGCATATCCTTGCTGATGATTTCTCAATTATGACAATTGTTTGTCACTCCCAAAAAGAGAAAACAAACATAAGGCCAGGGACACGGCGCAACGGGTGAGGTGACAATTAATTAGGCGAGCCCAATCCGATCCGAGGACATCCGAAATTGATTCCGACGGCAATTGCAACCTGACGCGTGGCAGGGAGTGGGCCCAACTCCTGGCATCGAAGGACACTGCCCAGCGGGGTGGCACTGGGTCTCAATATAGCCCATTCCCAAATCACATTAATAAGCCATTGGTTCCCTTTGGCTTGTGCCAAACCCCCGTGGATGTTATCCTTCCCCCCGCCGGGGCATCCCATTCCTGACTTGTGGGTGGCCACGCCGAAGGACACTCGGCACACTCTGTCGATTCGCCACAGTTTCCCTGCGAAGGTCGCTGTCCAGCCAGCAGCTGTCCCGCCAGGTTTCTCCAAGCAGCTAATCCAAGCGACCAGGTCCATAAAATCGTAGCACACTCAGGTATGCCACGCCCACTTGCATCCCACTCCCACACAACCAGGTAGTTTTAACAATGTGTCGTATAATTTTCAAACATTTTCGCATTTATTTTTGATTTTCGTGTCTTAATTATCACTACATTTAGCTACTTTACTTTACAATCTGTACAATTCTTCGGGAATAAATATATGAGGGGTTGACTAAGGCTAGTTTGTACAATCTTTGGGGGCAGGGATTAGGATCAGGATCAGGATCAGGTTGATGATCAGGGCCTTACGCCTCAGTCTTGTAGGGCTTGAAGAGCTTCGGCTTGGGCTCCGCAATCATGGTGGATGTGGGCGGCGGCGACATGTCGGAGGCGGGTCGCTTGGCGCTGGGCATCAGGAGACCGGGAGCCGGGAGCGGACTGGTGGTGGTCAGGGGAACGGCGGAGGCAACTGGAGCGGGGGCCACTGGACTGCGGTCGAACACCTTGGCATGATCGGATCCCACTGGCGAGAGCGACAGCGTGGAGGAGTGCGGCGAGGAGGAGGACTGCAGGTCCAGTGGCGGCGTCTGGGTCTTGGGCACACTCAATCCCGGATAGCAGGAGCCGGAGGGCAGGGCTCCCAGCAGGCCGGCGGAGTACGCTGATGTGGCGGCGCTGGTTCCCATCATTTGCTGGTGCATATGAGGGCCAGCGGGATGCGGTGGCGTCGGCCGGGTGGGGATGTGGTAGGGTGTGTACCGGTACTGTCCATATGGCGCCGGGTGTCCATGTCCCGAATGGCCGGGCATCTGCATGGCCTGCATCTGAGGCATGGCCATCGGGGGCATGCCAGTGCCCATGGGCGGCATTCCTGGTGCCATCATGGGACTGGTGGACAGGTAGGGCATGCCCACACTGTTGGCCGCCGCCTGGAGGATGGAGGCGGCGAAGGCGGGGTCGGAGTAGACGGCGGCATACGGCCAGGCGACGGCGATGCGCTGGCGCTTGTCCTTCATGCGGCGGTTCTGGAACCACACCTTGATGGTGCTCTCCGGCAGATTGAGCTGGGCGGCCAGTTCGCAGCGGCGGGGTCGGGACACATAGTTCTCCTTGTAGAACTCCTTCTCCAGACGACCCAGCTGGTCACGGGTGAAGGCGGTGCGGTAGCGACGCACCGACGGATCGGCGGGAATCTCCGAGCCGCGGCTGCCATTCAGGGAGTTGTCCGGACTGGATAGGCATTCTATTTGGAGCAGAGAGAAGAATTGGGAGTAAGTAACTTGTCGCAGTGGAGCAGTAGTATCCAATAACTTACCATTTGGCGATGGAGGAGGAGTCTGGGGCTTGCCGTACTGGGTGGCCAGGAGGTCCACCACCAGCGGCTTCTGGTCCACGGGACTGGCGTCGTGGTGGGCATGATGGCTCTCCATGTTGTATGTTCGGTATCCGTGCATCTTTCGCGGCGCAGATGTTAAATCGATGTATATATATATGAGTGTGTGTGTGTGTGGGTGCGGAGTGTTCAAAGGCAGTTGTTGACTGTGCGGCGGTCACAGCTCGAGTGTATCGCTCTCAGCCACCCCGCGACCTTTTATACCTCTCCGCTCTGCCCAGGCAAATGGCCGCCATCTATGGGATGGCCAATCATGTGCCGGCAGGCAAGTGCGAGCGAGACGGCAGCAGGCGGGTGCTAATCTTGCGGTACAGAGAGCCGCTGCTGAGCGGCGATTACGAGGCGGGACAATGCCCAATGCATGCGGAGGAGCAGCGGGATGGAGATGGAGAGATGCAGAGATGCCATGGAGCCGGTCCTGTTCCTGGCCACTTGGAGAGAGAGCGCCGATTTGGTATTCATAGCGGATGAGCGAATCTTTTGTCTCGCCCGCCCGCAGGCGGCAGCGCCACAGGAGCGAGCGGGACGGGCGGGCCCCCTTAATAATGGGATTTTATCGGCTTCATCAAGAATGATATGGCATTATGCCGCTCAGTCGGGCGGTGGTATTAGTAAACGTATACGCTATGTACCCAGTGTGTATGTGTTATATTTATCGATCGCCTTTTGCCAGCGAATTATTTGCGCTTTTATGAAGTCTTAATATTATGCCGCACGTTTAACAGACTCACACTAGCTTTTCAGGGTTTTTGTGAACTTTATCAACCCCGGACAAAAAGGGGGATGGAGGAGGAGGTGGTGGTCTCCATTTGGTATCTGCCATGACAAGATAATGGCTGCCCTTTTGCCGGGACTTAATTTGAAAAGTTTTCGGTTTCGTTTGGCAAAACATTTATTATGATGATATAATCATGCCCAGAGGCAACTGTACCGGGAAAGAGTGTCCTTTTGGGGCAGACAACTTGCGCAAGTTGGATATGTTGTGGATTTTGGATGGCAGAAGCAGGTAGTTCTGCCTCAAATGGGTTAAGCTGGGGGATCAGGGTTAAGTCGTCGCAAAAAAATAACCCAGTTCGCTAGTCCGTTAATTGCGCTGCCTGGACTCACATGTCCTTAATCCCTTCGACATCATTATTATGTGTTTTTATGACTTTCTAATGAAAATGCAAGGGGCCTGCGAAAGGGGATTATGATTGGATTTGGGATCGGGATTGGGTTCCAAGTCAAGCCCTCGGCTAATCCCAGCAAAAACAAACAAACAAACGCCCGCGATAGGATAGGAATCCCCTGACTTCGCAACCCGGTAAATAACTGGTAAACAGTCAAAATCGCTCGAATTCCTTTTAATTCCCTTCAATTGAAGTTGGAAGAAAGTAGAGCACAGCGTGTTAGCAAACTCAGACGATTGTTCAAGATGCTGCAATAAAATCTAACTCGAAAGTGAAACGAGGACGAAAGCGAAACTCTGCAATTGACTAATAATCTGGCTGATGGCAAACGGATTAACACGGCACACACAGCGAGGAACCTTCGATCTGTCCGAGTTTCAGTTCCCATTTCCCAAACCCATTGTTATGCATTACCGGGTAACCAAGAAGGATATATGTCGCTCCTGCGAGTTAGTTAAAATTATTGGGTTATATTGCGCCTCAATTTGCATTGGCATTAACTCGCCGGGGCAGGGAATTCGGCATCGGCATCGGAGTTTACCTACTCGTGACCTGGAAAAGGCCCATCCAAGCCTTCTTGGCCAGAAAGCAAAAGGAAAGGTACGAGTGCTGGCCCGGATTGAACCCTACCCACAACCTACAACCTTGCCTATTGTGCACCGCCGGAGCCATTGTCTTTGACTCCGTCCGGAGAATGGACCGCTTGGGTTAAGTCGTCAAGCGGGGCTGCGGCAGCGACAGTAAATACCCTTTATGGCGATCGGTTGGGTTAGGTTACTGTAAGTACCTGCAATCCATCGATCCCGATCCGCAAACACTTTCGCATTTCTCCAGCCAGAATTACTTGGAAGCGAATCCCTCGCCGTTTGTTCACCGGTTTATTGCACATTCTGCACTCACAAAGCGCCGATCTCGCTGATTATGTCCGTCATCATGGCATTTGCAATGGCAATAGCAAAAACACTGGACGAATTGTATGCGCAATGTAGAAATGCCAGCGAAAATTCGCAAAACGATGAAGGGAAGGACGGGGAAAAAGGCAAGGCAGTGCAAAAATTGGCAATAAAACGACGAAAACGAGGGAATTATGCTTGATGATTGAGTAATTTCTGTAATAAAACAATTACAACAAAAAGGGCCAAATTTATGGTGATTGCGAAAGAAGAATGAGTCGAGTAAGTGATTCAAGAATATGTCCTTAAAGCCTTTTTTTGGGCGAAATGTTTTTTCCATAATGAACTTAAAACATTTTTCATTTGTATCTTGAGAAATGCCTGCTAATAAACTGTGAATTATAAAGGGGATATAATATGAAAATTAAAATAGCTGGATTTTTAAAATATATGTATGTTGATGCATGATTAAAAATACATCAAAATGCCTAAAAACAAATCGTTTAAGTTATTATATTATATTAGTTTTGCCCATGTTTTATTGGTATACTTTCATTCTTTGTTTTTACCTTCATAGATTTAATACCAGAAACGTTATGAATACTATCTTGATTTTTACCATTTACTAAAATATCTTACAAAAATGATAATACAATAATAATTTCAACATTAGTTATAGCCTCTTAATGTATCTACATTTTACATATCGATTTCTTTAAACATACAAGACAAGATGGAAATTGTCATTTAACCTTCCAGTTCTTTAATAAAAAAGGTCGGAAAAATAATTAAAAATATTTTAAAAATCTATATAGTTCGTCTTTAAACTCCGCCTCAATCTTCCTAAATTGTTCCTTACTCTCTATTCAAAGAGACCATCCCATTCGTGGTGGGGCGGTATGTATTAGAGCACATCATCCCTCGAATAAATGTGGTGGTTTGCATCCTCCACTTAAGACAGAACTTTGCTCCCCGCACTCAAATAACCATAAAATGTCTGAGGAGTGTATAACAACATAAGTAATTTAATTTTCTTACAAACATCGTAAAAAAGCGATTCAACTCGGAGAGCATTTCTCCAACAATCGACGAATTAGCAGCGTTTACGTGAGAAATATAAAAAAGGCTTTGATGGAACTTTGGGCAAACTATTGCCTCATGTTTTTAATGGTTATACAAAACAACCTCACTACATGCAAAGCCCAAAGATTTTTATGGCACAACCTATTTATTTCTCCCCAGGGGAAAAGCATCGGAATTTTCCAATAATTGCCAGAGACAAAACAAACTGGCATATTTTATGCTGAGCTCGGCCCGAAGGAACGACCTCATAAAAATATGAATGCCCGTGCAGACAAATGGATCTTAAAAACGAGAGCAGTGAGAGCTATATGGCCACAATTACAGGTAAGTAGAGCGCTAACCTTGTCCGCGTTTTTCCAGGAGCCCAAATAAAAACCCGTGAAGAATTAAAAAATTAGAGCAGTTCGCTGGGTTCGGGGAAAAAAACTAGCGCAGCGAAAAAAGCGCACAATGGGAACAAAAAACGTGATCTACTTTCCTAATACTCCCGACCAGGACCGTCGCTAAGGTCCTCGCGGCAGGACACTCCCGTTCCGCGAACCAGATCGCCGTGCCCATAAAAATCTGCATATACCATAATTCCGTCCAGAATTTGTTTGCCCGGAACAAAGGACATGGAAATGGAAACGGGGCCATAAACCATAAAGCATAAAGTGAAATAAAGAGAGCAGGGCACAAAAATCGTTCGCATAGAACAAAAAACTGATCTAGTTTTCTAATGCAGCGAGGTCGCCCTCGATTTTCCTGATCCTTGTCGAGGATCCTCTCGTCATCGTTGTCCTGCGGTTCCGCCGAAGGTGCACCAATAAAAAGGCGCGTCCGCATTGCTAGTCGCTAGTTCCTAGTCCTACCTAGTTTTTTTTTCCTTTCTTTTTTCGGCCCAATTTTTAGTGGAAATGCGAGCGTGCAATAAACGGACGCATGTCCTTCCGCATGTCCTTTCCAGCGGACAACGACTAACTGCCGTAATTAGGAGGTTTGTAGGGCAGGCATCTCGGGGATCGGGATCGAGAATCGAGGACCGCGAGGGCAGGCCGGGAAAAAGACATGACAATGGAAAAAACTCATAAAAAGAGCAACAAAGTGGCCCAGAAAGAAAAAAATTGGCTCGCTTTTTGTCGAACAAAAAGAGGCCACAAAAAGCGTCCACGAGCCGTGAGTCTGGTCCTCACAATCGGGCCAAATAATTAGGTGAGCGATTGTCCGCTCTTTGTGCGACCCAATGATTAGCGGTTTCTTTTTTAGGACACTGTTTTTGGCTGGGATGGATTTTTAGGGGAAGTGTCCCGGGGAACCATCAATGAGGGCAACAGAAAGAGAAAACATCATAATACAAAATATATTATGACAGCCACATCCTAGATGATCGGAAGGCTACATTTGCTAATGCTCCTAATAACAAAATCACATTAAATCAAAAATAAAATAATGTACAAAATGTATAATAATATTATCTTCTAATAAAATGTATACCTAAATAGCTATTTATATATCTATAGCTATATAATGTGCTCAAAAATATGCCATTTCAAAATTATATCTAGGTACAATTGAGATACAAACATTTTTTAAATATTTGTTTACAAGAAAACAACTTCTAGAAGCATAATAATGTAACCCCTGAGTTGTATTAACACTCAACAAGAAGAAGTGTCTAATAATATAAATAGTCGCGAAATATTACTCCCAAGTTCTGCTAACACAAAAGGACACCACATTGATGACCAGTCAGGGGAATATTTCCTAGACCTTAGATGCAAATTGAGGCATCTGTGACCGACTCCCCGCGGGTGGCCAAATCAATCGGACACGTTTACTATAAATACAGCGCATTGCGGTCTCCGAGGCAATTCAATTGAACCGGTGACCAATGGCCAATTCCGATTCGGGCCAAGAGCGGAGGAGCAGCAGGGGACCAGGGGTCAGATTCGCCAACAAACGCTGCTGGAAAGCCGCAGAATGCAGGGTCACAGGACCAGAGACGCGGGAGGGGGCAGGAACTCAGAGTCC